CYTWWTWRGSMARSATGATTTTCTKGAAGATGGRTRTAARGGYTTTTACTGCATAACGTAGYATTTCCCAAACAAAATTTATAATTTACCATCATATGTTTAAAATGTTTCTTCAATTTATTGTGACAGACTTTTCATCGATAAACAAAAGATTACACCGGAAGTGAGCATCCATCTGAAGGGCGTGGACGTTCAACCCTACAATGAAGTGATTGACTATATAGAGACTCTAGGACAGGATCCTAAAGCTAAAATATGGGTAGGTGATTGTCTACCACTAATTCGTTTATCTATTATGAAATATTACGTAATTTTGCGCAATATTGCGCAATATTGCGCAATATCGTAAATTCTTAATTTATAATTTGATGTGATTGCAGCTAGAATAAAGCGATGGCTTATTATTAGTTTAACTATGACCCCATTTTTCTTCTTGTTGTTTCTAGATAACGCAGTACTGTAGCTATGCTCTTCGAATGGTTATTCCTAAGGTAATTCTGAAATGCGCATTTTCAATGTCACAGCGTTACTAATAAAGACTATAAGAACATTAAATATTTCAATTCATCATCCCAATTAATGTCTGTTTGTTTTTTTTGTTTGTGTTTTTCTCGTCAGGGTAGATCCGTTACGGATGAATCTCCCATTGCATTTCCAAAAGCTGTCAAGAATTACGTGGAAGTCGAGGGAATGAAAAAAGCAAATGTAACTTCTGAATTCTTGAACCCAGATTCTTCTCAGTTTTGCAACGGAAAATTGCAGAATCTGGAGACGAATATGCCTTTGATTTGATTGATCAAAAATTCCCATTATGCATATACGATCCAGATTCTAGGCCTCCCTCCATTGTCTCTAACCAGAGACTTACATTTCAACTGGGAAACTGAGAAGGACTAACCCGTAACTAATTAATGGTCTATCGCTCATACTGCGCTGTGATTGGCTACTAATTTGTGATAGACCACTCGCGGAAAAATCAAAATAAATAAATTATAAATTNTGTGACAGACTTTTCATCGATAAACAAAAGATTACACCGGAAGTGAGCATCCATCTGAAGGGCGTGGACGTTCAACCCTACAATGAAGTGATTGACTATATAGAGACTCTAGGACAGGATCCTAAAGCTAAAATATGGGTAGGTGATTGTCTACCACTAATTCGTTTATCTATTATGAAATATTACGTAATTTTGCGCAATATTGCGCAATATTGCGCAATATCGTAAATTCTTAATTTATAATTTGATGTGATTGCAGCTAGAATAAAGCGATGGCTTATTATTAGTTTAACTATGACCCCATTTTTCTTCTTGTTGTTTCTAGATAACGCAGTACTGTAGCTATGCTCTTCGAATGGTTATTCCTAAGGTAATTCTGAAATGCGCATTTTCAAGGTCACAGCGTTACTAATAAAGATTATAAGAACATTAATTAAATGTTTCAATTCATCATCTCAATTAATGTTTGTTTTCTTGTTTGTATTTTTCTCGTCAGGGTAGATCCGTTACGGATGAATCTCCCATTGCATTTCCAAAAGCTGTCAAGAATTACGTGGAAGTCGAGGGAATGAAAAAAGCAAATGTAACTTCTGAATTCTTGAACCCAGATTCTTCTCAGTTTTGCAACGGAAAATTGCAGAATCTGGAGACGAATATGCCTTTGATTTGATTGATCAAAAATTCCCATTATGCATATACGATCCAGATTCTAGGCCTCCCTCCATTGTCTCTAACCAGAGACTTACATTTCAACTGGGAAACTGAGAAGGACTAACCCGTAACTAATTAATGGTCTATCGCTCATACTGCGCTGTGATTGGCTACTAATTTGTGATAGACCACTCGCGGAAAAATCAAAATAAATAAATTATAAATTATAAATTATTTTAAGGATATTTCAATTTGTTATTTTCATTTTTTGACCG